TTGTCTTGAGGGAGGATCATTTGAGCAATTCAAGTACCACACTGAAAATATAATGGGAAATCTTATATAAGTGCCCATCAAAACTTATTAGTATTAGGTACCAAAAATAAATCCTTTTCTTGACTGACTCTCAGAATAAATAACATCATACTAATATATGTAAGTGTTCATCAAACTCTATTAGTATTTAGGGTTAATACCTTAGTTTGGCCCGAACTATATACATACTTTCTACTTTGGCCTGTGGTATTGGAAATTGCTATTCTGGCCTGAACTATGTAGCAAACTTCCTCATTTGGCCTGGAGGCGGGTTTGACCGTTAAATCAGACGGTCAAACTTATTGACCGTTAGTCAATGCCCACCTCACCTGCCACGTCAGCTTTGAGGACATAAAAAATATTTATTTTCTGAATTTTTTCTTCTTGTCATTTGCTAAAAATGGGCCCTTTTCGTTCTTTTAAATATTTTTTTTTGATTTATTATTTTTATTAATCGAAAGAAAACAAAATTCAGAAATAAAAAAATAATGTCCTCAAAGCTGACGTGGCAGGTGAGGTGTACATTGACTAACGGTCAACAGGTTTGACCGTCTAATTTGACGGTCAAACCCGCCTCCAGGCCAAATGAGGAAGTTAGCTACATAGTTCAGGCCATAATAGCAATTTTCAATACCACGGGCCAAAGTAGAAAGTATGTGTATAGTTCAGGCCAAACTAAGGTATTAACCCTAGTATTTAATACCAAATGTAGTTACTTTCGAATCTAGTCAAGAACCGGTACGTATTATCATACCAATAGAACATTTTTTAGATGTTCAACACTATACCTACGTACACCAAAATTTGTTAACTCAAAGTTGGTGTGTAAGGCCAATAGTAAGATAGCCTAGTGGTGCCGCTGCGTGGTAGGTCGTTCCGGAATGTGTGAGGTCCTGGGTTCGGTACCCCCCTCGAAGTTTCGTGTGGTGTTTGGTTGGTCGAGATGAATCCCCGTTGACGCATAAAATTACAGCAGGTGACTCACAGATTTGATCTCTACTATGTTTGGTGTGTAACCCCGTAGGAAAATAATGTTCGCCTTGGGATGGGTTAGGGTGGCAACTAAAATTTTAGTAGCCACCATGGCTACATCACTATCTGTCGTTCATTTTTCTTGTTTTCCTCTTTTTTTAATCTCATGGTTAATTTTGTTTTAGGGTAATTTTGGAATAAAAAAAGAGTCCACACCTGATTATTCTATATATGCTACTCAAACCCTAATCTACCATCCCTCCATACCAACCCTAGACGACGGCATCACCCCTCCACCCACCGCCGCCCACCTCCACCCGCCCTCATCCCCTCCCCCCACCTCCGCCCACCTCCGCCCACCTCCACCCGCCCTCCCCTCTCTTCCACTCTCTCCCCCCACCATCCGCCCGCCTCCTCCGATCCCTCCTCACTCCCTCTCCAATTTTGGTTGTTCTGGTGCATTTCCGCCGGACAAACAAGCCAAGTCCGGCGTCGCCCCTCCTCTCCCCTGCACACCGTCTGGAGGCGCGTGATGGCGGTGCCGCAATCGACGATGACGCCGCCGTTCCCGGCCTCATCGAGCTCGAAGACCGAGGCCGGAATCGAGAGCAGCTCCCCGCCGACGCTCATCCCGCTCAGGGCGACGTAGTAGAACGTATCGACCTTCCTGCTCTTCATCAGATTCGCCGTCACGGAGTCGGCGGGGAAGGCGGAATTGAAGTCTAGGGTTGAGGAAGAGGTGGAATCGCGGTTGACGAGGCAGTAGGAGAACGAGGAGGAATGGTATGTTTTTTTTTTAAATGGTAGTCATTTTTTTTTTCAGTAGTGATTTTTTTTAAATGGTAGTCATTTTTTTCGTAGTGGTAGTGTTATTGTCGTATTGGTATAATTTTTGTCGCATTGGTATTATTTTTGTTGCATTGATTTTGTCGCATTGGTATTGATTTTGTTACATTGGTATTGATTTTGTCGCATTGGTAGTGATTAAATCTGCAATGGTATTGATGTTTTGTGAAATGGTAGTGTTTTTATTTCTTGAATGGTAGTTTTCGTGTAATGATATAAATTTATTTCTGCAATGGTAGTTTTCGTGTAATGGTATAGATTTATTTCTGCAATGGTATTGATATTTTTCAAAGTGGTAGTGTTTGTCTAATAGATTGGTACTGATTTCGTTTTTTTTTTTTTTTTTTGCAGAAAGATTGAGAAAAATATAAAAAGGAAATCTGGCTGGAGATTACGGAAGTGAGAGAAAGAGAGATTTTTAATTAATAGATTTTTGTAACTACCTTAAATGTAATTTAAAAAAAATTAATTAATATAATTTATTTTTCCATACCCAATTTACCCTTAGTAACCACGGTGATTACTACTTTAACCTGTCCCTGTTGGCCTTAGCTTTATCTGCATGTACCCAAAATTTGCTGCCCTATATCCGCCGCAAGTGAATATATAAGCAAGCAAACAAACGAACAAAAGGGTTTTATTTAAATCTTAAACGCAAGAACAACTAGTACTAGCAGGGGCAGGGTGGTGATTAGGGCGTCGTTTTCCTTTTACGAATCGCAATCAGAATCTTCAAATTAGCAAAGGTGGTGCTGATCACAACCTCACGTACATATTCTGCTACATATATACAATTATCCATCCCAACTCTCAACCTAAGTCCTCTCCATATTTATGAAACAAACTAGCAGAGAAACGGCATTAATTGCCATAATTAATTTCTGCTAATCATTAATCATGTTATGGCAAATAATAGTTACATCGTAATTAATTCACGTCAGGTTCCGCCTAAGTAAATCAAGTCACTCCTTCTACCAAATTAATTCATGTGGAGCTGAAATTTGTCAGTTAGCAACTAAGGATAGTTTATCTTTCCATCTCAACCCATCGCCGTGGTTGATGATGTGATGTAAATTGTAATAATTTTCATTTCCAACCGACACATTGAAAGGCTTGTTGTCGTGCTACAAGCACCCAACTCAAGCATTGTAGTTAGGGATGAACAATAGATGGGTTAGATGGATTTTAGTTTCAAATTTACTCACTTGCTTATTAGCAATTTGTTACCATTATTATCTAAACACATTATTTTTCGGGTTGGTTGGGTGGTGAGTGGGTACGTCGGGTTGGGTTGTTGGTTAATGTGCCAAACAAAAATCTATTGACTAATCATTAATACATTTACTAAAGTATAATAAACTTCTCACAAATTAGCAAAAACTAGCAATTTAGACACTTTACACTTTGTCTCGCGGTCTCGCGGGGATCTGTTACTACTTGTGACTTATGAAGTTTTTTATTTTTTCATACCAACTTTTTATTTGACCACTTTAATTGAAGTATTCATTGACAAAAGAAAAAACAAAGTCACTAATCAGTAGAGAGCAAGGCTCTATATGTGTGCGGATTTCAATTCTTTGATAGAGATGTCAAATCTTTTATTACTCCATCAGCTAATTGTGTAGAGAAAATAATAAAATTAATAGTTTACAATTTCCATCTCAATATCGAATGGACATACACAAAGTAGTAAGTAACCAATATAGTAGTTGTTCCAAAATATTCTATGTTTTCCGATTGTAGAGGTCGATGGTTAGTGTGTGGTGTAGATAAAAAAATGTGATGAGTATGTAACAGTATAAATCAGAAACAACTCTTTGTGATGTGAAAGTGTGAGTGCGACAATCACCCGACCCGCCGTCACAAGTCCTCGGGGATCCGCGGCTGCCACCGCTGCCGGATCGGTGGTCGACGATCGACCACACTCTACCAACATCGGTCCCAACTAGGTGGAGAATTTAGGGGATTTGGTCTCCAAGGAAGGGTCGGTTCGATCGGATAACATTTTAGGTTGGTTTTGATGATATGACGTTGCGTATACAAATTTTTTCGGATTAAATTAGGTTGATTAGGTGATTTTATTCCATTCCGATAAAGAACTTTTTTGCCTCGGCATCTCATGGCATGTTTTAAAGAAGAAACGAAGATAGCAAAAGGGGAAACCGGGTTTCCTGCCAGGCTGCCGCTCACTCTGCTATCGCCGACCGCCGACCACCGTCTCCTCGTCGGAACACCAAACTGACTCACTGAATAACTCAGTGCCTTCATTTACGTTTTCATTATATCCACCGGCTCACCCTCCACATTCGCCGTTTCCGTTCTGGATTTGGCTTACGAACCTTTAATTTTCTTTTTCCACAACTGTCTGTGCTTGTAATCCGAAGAGAGAATAATATTTATCCAGTTGTAATCCAAAACGGAAAATAAAATCGTTAGTCGGCGCTCCAAATCAAAATCTAGAACTTGGAAATAAAAATAAAAAAATTGAAGATTCCTCTCCGGCCTTTTTTGAAAGGCCGCTTTGCATTGTCGTTTTCAACAGAGCTGCAGAGAGGACAGAGGACTCCCCTTTTCTTCTCGCATCTTAATAGTTTTCACTAATCCTTTAATTAATTATATATATAATTTAAAGTTGTTAATCCGATTTAGCCTGTTGGTCCGATCAAGTAAGTTGATTGAGAGTTAATGGTCTGTTCACTTTAAGTGAATATATGAAAAAATTATTATATTGTTCAAGTAAATTATAACAAATCTCATATACACATGTGTAATAACTAATAACGTGTGATATCCGGTCCGGAAACTTCGGGTCGACCCGAAGATCTTGCCCATTTTCCTCATTGGGTCTGGATCAAGTTCAATCCGGTTCCACCCGCAGGTCCACCGGGGGATTGACAACGTTGATAATCTTCACTAAATCTATTTTGTTTATAAAACCTAAAACTAATTTGGTTCTCATTTTCAATTTTATTATATTAAATTAATTCACTGCTTGCCTGCCGGGTTTTCACTTTTTTCTCGTTATTGCGCTGCCAAACGTGTCCCTGTAAAAGAAAAATTGGGGGAAATTAAAATATTCCCCCAAAATTCTCTCTCTTCTTTATTCATTCATCCCTTCCCCCTCTGGCACACATACATTGAGACTTGCCCTCTCTCTCTCTCTTCTTTCTCTCTCCCACTCAAACCACAACACTTTTCCTACTCATCCTCTGCTTGCTACTCTTCACCTTCAGCCATCGCCAAACCAGAACAAAGTTCCATCCTCAGATCACAAAACCCACCAAAGACAGACAAACAAAGCTTCTACTGATTTTTTTATTTTTGTAACTCGGAATAAGGGGAGTTGGTTTTAGTTTTCTTCTCCGATGGGCATGACCGACGCAGCGGCCAAGCATCTGTCCTTCAGCGGCGGCGGAGGAGGAGGGCTGCCCATTGTCTCCGACCTCAAGACCCTACTTTCCCTTGTGAGGACAAAGCGCTCTCTGGCTTTCGCCTATGGCTTCATGTTCGCTTTCGTCGTCTTCACCGTCTTCCTCGCTTTCAACCCTTCTCCAAACTCTACCTCCCCTTGGTTCTTCTCCAACATCTTCACCGCTCCTTCTCCCGGCGCCGACACCCCTGCCGGCGGAGGTAGCACCGCCGCTGGATCTCAATTCCCTTCTATTTTCTCTTATCTCTTCCCCAACTCCTCCGACGCCGCTCTGCAGATGGAAGAAGACGAAGGCGGGTTCGCCGCCGTACGGACGGTGAACGCTTCCTCCTCCCCCACCGCCGGAGAGGCCGGCGCTGTCAGATCTAACTCCAGCAGTTCTTCACGGTCTCATAATGGGGATGTGAAAGGGCTTCCTCCTGTTAGTAACCAGACACAAACTAGTACAGAGCATTCTTTTGTTCCGCCGCCGGTGGAAACCCAGTCCGGAAACGCGTCAATCGTCGGCGAAGAGCCTCCTGCTGCACGTAATACTAGTAAAACTGTAGAGAATTCCGGTAAAGTTCCCAGCTTTAATTCAACCGCAGCAGACACGGCGAATCAGACTAAAAGTGCTGTTACTCCCGCCCCCAATAATGGAAATTCCGGCGAATCCCAGGGGAAGGATGCAGTTACAGACCAGAAATCTCCGTCGACGGCCGCAAATCAGACTGCTATGAGTTCGATCTCCGACGGGAAAGGAGTAGGAGATAAGAATTCTGCTTCCAATCTTACAGAGAAGAAACAGAGCAGCGGCGGCGGCGGTGGTTCGAAACAGGGGAATAAGGGGAAAACAGGGGCGTCGGTGAAACAGGGGATAGAGGCGTTGGTGGAAAGTTTAGAAGGTTGTGATCTCTTTGACGGGGAATGGGTCATGGATAATTCGTACCCGCTTTACAAACCCGGTTCCTGTTCACTGATCGACGAGCAATTCAACTGCATTCTCAACGGAAGACCTGATAAGGACTACCAGAAGTACAAGTGGAAGCCCCACGGCTGCACTTTGCCCAGGTTAGTAACTCAACCGTACCTTTTTTCGCAGTTCAATTGCAACAAGTTTTCTTCAATTGGAAAGAGTCCGTTTTGGATTCAGTTTCTGTGGGTTCTAATTTTTTTTTTTGAAAAACCCTAGGTTCAATCCTGGGCACATGCTGGATATGTTGAAGGGAAAGCGGCTCGCGTTCGTCGGCGATTCGTTGAACAGGAACATGTGGGAGTCCATGGTTTGTATGTTGAAGAGCGCCGCGAAAGATCAAAGCAAGGTTTATGAAGCCAATGGGAGGCAACATTTCAGGGGAGAAGCTGCTTATTCCTTCATATTCAAAGTAAAGTTCGTTCCTTTATAATAATGTAGTTTCCTCTTTTGCTTGTTCTTGAAGCCCCAATTTGAATATGGAATTCACTTTAATTTTGTCTTTGATAGGATTACGGTTGCACGGTTGAGTTCTTTGTAACTCCATTCCTAGTTCAAGAATGGGAAACCATCAACAAGACTGGATATCCGAAGGAGACGCTCCGGCTCGATTTGATAGGGAAGTCCTCCGATCAGTACAAAACTGCAGATTACATCGTGTTCAACACCGGTCATTGGTGGACTCATGAGAAAACATCCCTAGGGTGAGTCATTGTTGGACTCGGGTTGGTACATTTCGCTCGATTGTTACCTCGCATTTGATCGAATTGAACTCTCTTTTTCGTTTTGCAGGAAAGATTATTACCAAGAAGGGAGTCATGTGTACCCGACCCTAAACGTTCTCGAAGCATTCCGGAAGGCTTTGACGACGTGGGGGAGATGGATCGACGCCAATGTGAATCCGAGGAAGAGTCTGGTCTTCTTCCGAGGATACTCCGCTTCTCATTTCAGGTACCAAAATGAGCCAACCATGTTTGTAAAATTCCAAGTAATGTCCCACCCTTTGTTCGGGGTAAGGTTTAGAACTAGGAACAAATAACAACAACCAGCCAAAAGCGCAGGAAATTCCAAGTTATGTCCGCTTGAGGTTCCAGGTTTCAGCATATCCCTTTAACTTATGTGCTTGTTTTTGGCTCCCTTTGCAGTGGTGGGCAGTGGAACTCGGGAGGGGCGTGCGACAACGAGGTCGAACCGATCAAAAACTCGACCTACCTGACCGAGTACCCGGACAAGATGCAAGTGCTCGAGAAGGTACTGAGAGGGATGAAAACCTCGGTGAAGTACCTGAACGTGACCCGAATGACCGATTACAGGAAAGACGGGCACCCATCGATCTACAGGAAGCGGAAGATCACGGAGGAGGAGAGGAGGTCGCCGATGCTGTACCAGGATTGCAGCCATTGGTGCCTTCCCGGTGTGCCGGATGCGTGGAACGAGGTCCTCTATGCTCAGGTTTTGGTGAATGAGTACAGGAAGCATCCTGTGCAGAAGAAGAAAGCATAGGTAAAATGAAAGAGGAAGAGTGATATGATTATTTTGAATTCAGTTCACCCTTTTTTTTGTATATGCACAGCACCACCACTATAGTTTTTTTTCTTTCTTTCTTTCTTCTGTTTGTTTGTCTCAATTTTGGGGTTCCATAGAAAGGTAAAAAAAAGCAATGGCATCACAGAAGGATGTTGCCAAAAGTTTGGGTATCAAAGTGCGAGAAGAATAAAGTTTACTAGGTGTAACTTGTAAGTATTTATGGCCCCCTGATTAAGTGGAGAAAGAGATTTGTGGGTTTTGATTGTTCTGCTTTGCCTAATTTAACAGAATGGATTTGCATTAATCCAAGTGTTCAAATTAAGTTAGTTGCAACTTCAATGACGGTGGTGATCCACTTTATTTATTATTATTAATTTCAAGCATTGATTTAGGAGGTGACCGGCGAATTCTCCCTTGAAGACGACCGACTGAAGACTGATTTTTCCACCTTTCCCCATTCTACTTTATTATTGTTATTATAGTAGTAATTATGTTTATGAACATATTATTTGATTCTTTATTAGGTTGTTTTAGTTTATACTTTATTTTTTATTATATATAAAACTGAAATCCCTGCGGCTTTATAATATTAATTAATTAATAAAGAATAAAATCCTTACGGCTTCATCTTTTTCTTACTTTGAGGCATGTCACCCACATGGAGATGTCTATTTGCCATTTGGGGCAGTAGCAACTGCCAACTAGCAAAGAAGCAGGCTAATATATATTAACAAAAATACTGAATATTTGTGGACAGGCCAGTAGTATATTTGTCATGTTAGGGTTTCGTGGTTTTATCGAAGCTGGCAATGCTCCAGGTTCAGGGTATTTCTTGTCCTTCCGGCTATGGTGTTTCTAGTGCGTCTATGCTCACAAATCAAAATGGTTTGTGCTTGTGGATCGAGGGACAATTCGTCCAGGTTTTTGCAAGGTCAACCCGCGAGTTGAGTCGGACCCGGTCGAGCTAGTGGGTCAAGAGTTAATGGGTCAACCGTTTTAGTTTGTTTTGGCCCGAAAATATGGAAAGAGTCATGATATTGTAATTATCCTTATAAATTATATCAAATCTTATCTAATATATGAGTTATAACATATAATATTACACCAAAATAACATATCGTACTTAGGTCAAACATAAAGTGAAAATTCACACACTTATATAACATCAATATTCAACTTAGGATTCCAAAGATTGAGTTAGGCGAAAAGAAAAATTGGAAAATAGGCGCATTTCGCAAACCAAAGAAAAAAATGACACAATTTGACTTTCAACCCGATACCTTGTAGGCTGTAGCGGTCGACCCAGCAAGTTAACAACTTTGGAAAATAGGCTACAGATTGACCACGCGCAATTTAACAGCCATAATACCGTGAGCATGTTCTCACAAAAGTCCCGAGAGCACCGTAGCAAAATTCTTACTCGCCCTTTTTTTCTTTCAGTTGTAAAGTTTAGTGTGGTGAGTTGTTGAGATTTTAGTATTTTATGATTCTTATTATGAATAAAATGACATTATATTAGTTTTACTAGTTTTACTTCTACTAGTTTTGTTCTACTTTTAGTTTTACTAGGTTCGAGTATGTTCCATCCAAATATGTTCTACTTTTACTAGTTTTGTTCAACTAAACATATCATCGGAGATTCATAAATTGAATACTTTCATGTTGCGTTTGTTATCGAAATTGGTCTTCCAATATCATATTACAAGTAAATGGTATATGATCCACGGTAGAACTTTTTTCCAATAACTTGAGTTATTGAAACCAACTGGTTCTTGACAAGATATCAGAGCCTTTTGTAATCGAGAGGTCCTCTGTTGGATTCCCGATAACCCCCATTTGTTATGTTAAGCACGCCCATATATGGTTGCTTTTGTTTGATGAGTGTATTAGTAAACGGTATATGATACACGGTGTAGGGATGGCAATGGGGCGGGTTTGCCTAAACCATCCCCATCCCCATTTTTAAATATCCAAACTCATACCCGCCCCATACTCATGCTGGGGAATGTTTTGCAAACCCATCCCCATACCCGTGGGTTTCGGGTACCCATGGGTAATACCCATCCCCGTACATCCAACATTATTATACCTAAAATTTACAAGAAAAGTTTTAATTATAACCATAAACAAACCTATTATATCACGAAGTCAACAAAACACGGTCATTTTCTAAATACGATTCAAAGAATATGATCCTAAAACATCCATTAATACATAATATAGACTATAATATTTTTTAAATTATTATGCTCTAACTCTTGATACATTTACTAAGTAATAATTAACTAACATAATTTTGTTGACAAGGGGGAAAGTGAAAGAGTGGAAGGAGAATTGAGGGAAATGAATTAGGTTTTGATTAAGGTGGTTACTCAATTGCATTTCTACTATTTATTTTCTCGAGTTATCATCATCATCATTGATAGATTACAATTTAATCCACGTATTTTTTGATATGTGAAGAAATTCTCTTGGTGGGGCGGGTATGGGTATGGGTATGGGGCGGGGGAGGCTAAAACCATACTCGCCCCATACCCATCAAACCTTTTGCGGGTTTTACCCATACCCGCCCCATACCCGGTCAAAGCGGGGATTCCCCGCGTTGACTGGGTATGGGGCGGTCGAGTACCCGCGGCCATGGGTTTGATTGCCATCCCTAACACGGTGGAACCTCTCACAATAACTCGGATTATTTGTACCATCTGGTTCTTTACACATGGTCTCTCAAGTTCATATCATATTTTTATGGACGGCTTAGTTTGGGCCCATAGCCGGTGTGTTCTGTTTATATCTGGAATGGGCCACTTCCTCCGTTTCTTGCTATTCACGTTCAACTCTCAGTATTTCATTCAAACGACGAGCGAGCCCAGAGAATCAACGGCGAGCAGGGGTTGAGGGACGACCAGACTGAAGGATTTCTCGGCGAGCGAGGGCGGCGAGTTCAATTGAGACCAGGGGGCGAGCGTAGCTACTGATTTAATTTGTTTGCTTGTTAGAGGGCAAGGTAAATTACGGAATTCGCTTCTTTTTTCTGTTGGGAGGACGAATTTCTGCGAAATTAGGGTTGCTATTCGTTAAGATTTCAGCAGATTAGGGTTGCAGATTTGGACGATTTAGCAGCAGGTTTAGGATAATCATATCAGTGCTTTCTTGAAGTGGGTAATCGATGGATTTTCGCTGTTTACCAACCGAATTCGTGTTTATCATGGTTTATCTGCGGTGGATGGTCATCTATGTTGGTTTGATTTGTAATGCATTTTGATCGCCAGAAACCCACTTTTAAAAGCACCAACTTTCTGGGCTTTCTTCTGCTTTTGGATTCGGGGTTCTTCTATGGTAGGGTATGCGTATAATGATTTGTCCTCTGAGTTGGGCGAGCTGCCTATACTGTTCTGGTAGGACATTGAATGTTTGATGCAGAGCTTTTTTTTTTGTTGAAATTTATAGAACTTGAGTTGCTTATCGACGGAGTGATAGAATGAATTGCTCATGTGTAGCAGGACAGAAAGATGGAGGCATCAAAAGGGTCGCAGGAGATGCAGCAAGCAGCGGCGGCAGCAGCATCGTGTCGCAAGTACAAGAAGGACGATGCCACTTTTTTGGAGGATGTCAAAGCTCACATTGATGAATTCGTCAATGCATCAATGGACGAGCACAAGTCTTGCTTTAAGAAAACCATGTCAAAGGTTTGTGAATGAATCTGAAAAAAACGACATCCTAGTTCTCAGTTATTACAATTTACAGCAATCCTGGTTTGCGTATTTAATGGGTCCTTACATGTGTTATTACAGATGTTTGGGATGTCCAAGGTTGTGGCAGAGAAGCAAGCTGAAGCAGCGAAAGGAGTCGAAAGTGTGCTTCCCCTACAAACCAGTTTGTCTAAATGAAGGACTCCTTACAGTTCTACTAGGTTTTTATGCATGTAAAACCTAGTCCTGGAGCAAGATGGTTGGTTACATTCTGCACTTTGATAGCTCATGAATGTTTGTTTAGCACTTATTCCCTATCCAAACTACGTAGCATTATGACTCTAGATACAAACCATACGTTCAAGCTGTTCTGTTCAGTGCATCTAAAAAGTGTACTGATCCCAATTGTGTGCTATTGAATGTGTTGAATTTCTTAGCCTCGTTTTGATACCAACTTGGATACAATCAACAAATAACGTGCATCAAAATGCGAAGGTGATTGCGATGATTGTGATTTAAGTTTCTTCTTCGACACATAATGAAATTGACCCGATACTGGAAAACTACAGCTACCGATGTCGGTTTTGAGGAAAATTCAGGCATTCTGGTGGCCGGACATTCCTAAGGGAGACAGCTCTATCGTAGACCAGTGCTGCTTCTTCTGCTGCATCATATGTGCCAAACCAAACTCTAAATGGACCACATTTTTGCTTGCTCTTTAAGTTCAGCTCGATGGCCTGTGCTTCACTCTTATGTACTTGCACGAGGACGATGATGACTTCTGTGTTCTTCTGCTGATGTTTGATCTCAAACTAGTTCGCTGATAAGATTTGACACCTGAATTGCCTATGCTCGATTCTGACAACAAAACCAAAGATAAAAGATTTGAGTCGAACAACTACATACGATGATTCTTTTCCAAGAATGGATAGGCTCCTCATGGTTTGTCTCACAGATAGAATTAGCCACGGCTTTAACATATAGCAAAGATAGTTTCTTTTAGCTATGGGAAGAACACCATCTGCACTATGTAAACACGTAGTTAAGAAGTATCAGCTTTCTGGCTAGTGTACAAGTTGTACCAAAAGTCCAAGTTGGAATTGCGCACAGTTAAGGATCAGTTCTCACTTCTCAGCACGGGATTCAGATTCCTCTGACATTACTACTCACTCAGAAGGAATTTCTGAATTCCCAAATGACAAAGAGAGAGCCAAATTGAGTCTACAAGAAGCAGCTGCGCCGTTACTCAGCAGACATCGCCGACCGACGAGCGTGTCAGAGTGGCACGGTGTGAAAGCCCAGAAGTGTAAGGCCTTTGCTTGGTGAATTCTCAACCCGCGAAAGCCCAAAAAGGAACTTGCATAACGTCGGCCCAACCCACTTTTCTATGGATTTCTGTCCAACGAGGCTTTATCATAATAACAAATCTCCACATCTTTGTGGTCCTTCCATTGCAGGGCATATAGGCTGGCAGCCTGGCGGGCATGAATGATTAAGAGGGCGTTTGGTCGTTTGTTGATTGGATTTGAGATTTGAGATGGATTTTATTTATCCAAATTTGTGGACCTCAAGAATTTTTAATTCATGTATTATGTTGGATTTGGTTGAAGGTAAGGATGACCAATGGGTGGATTGGGGCGGGTTATGGTATAAACTGACCCAACTGTTTACTAACGGGTTGGTACAACTGTGACCCACAATTTATCCACACATTTTTTTGGGTTGGGTTGGGTGAGTGGCGAATGAGTGCGGTTGGGTAGTGAGTTAACCCGCTAATATAATTCTCCAACTAGTAATGATGCAAGTTGACTAACATTTATAATAAATTTCTCGCAAATTAGTAAGAATGCATCAATTTGAGTCTGGAGTGGAGAGTTTAGTACTTGTATCAAATCTTTCATACTTCATCAACCAATTGTGTAAAGAAAGGTCGCGGTTTTTTGTGACCTAGATACAATTAATACTTATAATCTGAATCTCAAAACCTAATGGACATTGTACAACATAGCGAACAATAGTAGTAGTTCGAAATATTCTGTATTATCCATATTTAGAAGTTGATGGTCAGCGTGTAGTGTCAGTTAAGAAATACGATAACTATTTGGTAGTAAACACAAGCAACTATTGTTCATGTAAAAATGGGGTGCGTGTCATTCGGGTGACCCGCAACCCACCCATCGCCCACCCGATAAGTGTGGGTCAGCGATTTATTGATCGATAATCTACCCACATCAATCACCATTTACTGCGATTTAGATTTTTTGCGGGTGAATCGATATCAAACTACAGATTACCCACCCATTTGTCCAACTCAAACAGAAGAGGCTATAAAATCTTTAATTTCTATTGATCCATGCAACAAATCCATAAAAAAAAATTACCAAATTTATCCATCAATCGGTAAATTCGTCAAATCCATTGATACAATAAACTCATCACAAATCCAAAATTTCTTTTTCCCCAAAACCTCTTTTTTTTTCTTTCTTTTCTTTCAATTTCTCCCTTCACAAGTAACATGAAAAATGGAATTTTTATATTGGGACAGACAAGAGGGAATGGATGACATATATCTCGACAGTTCCAATACCTAACATTCCTTCTATTTATTCTAAATAAATAGTATAACTCCAAAAACTCCCAGAGATGGATAAGCCACTAGAATTTTAGTGTGATGCTATCCGCAAAAATTCCTAAAATTATAGTTTTTCCATTTAATTAATTGGTGGTTACACACAGAAGCACAACAAACAACCCACCTCTAGGCTCTAGTTAGCTCCCTTCTTCGATAAAAAAAAAAAAACTACAGTCTCTTGTGGGTCGTTTGGATAAGTTGTTGTGTAACGAGTTAATATAAAAGTGGAATTCCTCATAAAATGAGAATGTGGTATTTGTAAGTCATTTCACAATAACTATCCCATATGAGGTATTGACAATAACTCATTAATGAGTTATTTCAAATTAACTTAAGTACAAATAACTCATCACCAACTTTTGTAGACAAACGGGCTATTTGCACCCAAATATGAGTTATTTGGGTGCAAATAACTCATACAAATAATTCATCCAAACTACCAATATTAATTGAAATCTATGACTGTTAATGGTATATAGTCTAACCGGTATCAAGATAAGTGGCGCATATTTCTTTTTATAGAGATCCGTTACAAGGTGGTATTAGAGGGATGGGGAAGGGGGAAACGAGCGTCATCCTTGGGATTCAAATTTGGGAGCTCCAGACTGAAAATCAACGGTACGATCACTCGACACTAGTGGCGGAGCAACGTTAAGCCCAGGGTGGGCTATAGCCCCCAACTTTCGAAAATAGGTAAATTTACATGGAAAATGTGTAACAAATTTGAAAAATTGACGGGTTGGTAAAGCACTAGCCCCCTTCACCAATGATCATGGTTCAAACCACTTTCGTGTATTTTTTTTTTACCCCGCTCATTTAAATTTCTGGCTCCGCCACTGCTCGACACGGCCTCATTCACAAGTGACGCATATTTTCACAATGATGACCATGAAGGTTTTAATTACATTATCATATCTAAGTTCAATGTCTTTACCATTGTATCCAAAGCAGTCAATTTGATCCAAATTCCAACCAAACCATGATAGGATCAAGCCAAAATTAGAGAAAAAATTAGAATAAGAATCCGACCAAAATAGCATGTTGTTTGTTTTGGTCCAATTAAATGGTAATTTTTGTACACCTCTTAATAGATATTTTAGACAATTTATTAAACTGAAAACTAACCAAATTATGTTTAATCTAGGGGCTTAAATCGTTGGCCAACCTTTCAATCACACCTTATAGGCAAGTGATCATTATTGACCTTGATTATAACCAGTAAAACAGTGCCAATTTGCTTACTTTGTTGGTTCTAGAATCGATTTCATTTATCCTAATAATAACAATAATGATAGTGATAATGACAAGGACAATCATATGCTCTTTCACCCAAATAAAATCAAATGATGCCCTCCAATAATAATCCTTTGCCCTTTTTTCTTGCTTAACACCAACAAAAGAAGCCTATAAATAATAATGCTGTAATTGCATGCATGGCCACCTTAATTATGTTGTCAGCCCCAAACCATCACAGTAATTCATACCCTTCAATCGTGTTGCTGATTATGATTAATTGATTATCCCTCTATACTACCCTACAACTTTGAATATGAAAAAACTACGTGTCAAATTCATCTGAACATAAGTGTGAAAGCACAGTAAAACTGTTAATTCATTCAGCAAATGTCATAAATTAACATGTTATTTTTACGTCCAACGTCTAGACACATTTAAACAAGTCAGACAATTGAACAACACAGCAACACTCGTCTTACACCTAACGCCTTCAAGGATAGATCATTCCATATCATCAATGAAAACAATTCATTATTAATTCTCATCCTCTTGTCCTTTCACTAATCAAAGAAAGATTAGCATATACCATAAATCGTAACCATATCTATATTCAAATAATGCCCCTCTTCCAATGTGATCCGTATGCTACTGTAATTAACAAAATACATTATTTCCAATTATTATAGCCTGACCTACCTACGCTCTATAATTCATACTTTTTTTTTTAATTATAAACCTTTCCAATAAAAACACCATCATCAATGGCCCAGATATACCTTATAGCAAGTTACATATTTTAAACCTTGATCACTGTATTTGTAAAACTGTACCGTACCGGCGGTCAATCTGGGAACACCTCCTACAAGAATCTAATCCGATAGACGGTTTTTAGCAATATAAAACAATTGAACCATGATTAAATCATAATTTCGGCCATAAAATACTTTATCACTGACTTTTGCTTTGATCATCGGAATAGCTGGTTGTTCAAACACTTCCATCAAAACTAATCTCAACATACAGTGCTTTTGCCCTACGTTGTGCATTTTTTTTAGTCAAGTTTGTACATCATGACGGCAGCCTCCTCCTCGATACATTGAATATGAATCAAATCAAGTGTATGACGATCAAACAATTTAATGATCTTGTTGACATTTTTGAAAATTTACCCACCTGTTGATTTTTCCTCACTTTTTTTTTTTCTCTGGCCAAAATTCATTGAGCATGCCGTTGAAATTGGTCATTATGCACATCCTCATTATTACTATTAGCCGCCTAGAAAAGAAAATGACCCCTATTCCATCATAATATAACCTTGGAGCAGGGAAAAAAAAAACAAAAATCAATCAATGTGACATTATAACGGGCCATCACCAAGCTAAGCTTCCTTCAATAAATTATAAACAAGATAATTAACTCTAAACCCCGATCAACCCCAAAGACCATTTCTTCCTTCAAAGTTCAAACCCCTTGTACAAGGGAGATCTCAGTTTGGAATTTGGGAATTTGGATTTGTCGTAATTCCGCTTATAGCACGGGTCTCCAAGCTACCATTGACACTAGACCTAAAGAAGCCTTTAATATTAACGAGGTGTTACAACTTTAAAATTTATGGACACGAGCACAGCTGCGATACAGTTTATAAGTGGATTGTGTCGGATCTAATGTTTTTAAGACCCTATTAAATATAAGCATGATATGACACGGAAAATATTTTTTTTTATAGAAAATAAAATAAAAAATAAATATATAAGTTCAAAATATTACAACATAGAACTACCAAAGTAATTATCTATTGTTGTTAGAACTTAGAAGTAATAATAACAAAATATTATAAGTAATTACAACCATAAATAAAAATGGTTTATGAATTAAATATAACATGTGGAGGCCAAACACACCCGCTATACATTCAATTTTCTTCTATTCCGTACCCTCTTCTTTTTTTTTCTGATCACTTATAGCACGAATATGAGCACGTCCGATTTTCTTCTATTTCCATACCTTCTTTTTTTCCTAATCATTTAGCACGAATATGAGCACGACACAAATACGAGCAGATGCGGCACAATTCAAACCGAGCTCGAACCTGTGCGGAGTCTGGCAACTTAGAAATATGGGCTGGCATGACACAAGACGATATGAGCTTAAAGCATATCAGGAAGCCATCGGCGAATGCAAATTATTAGTGGGAGAACCAATAAAACACCATCATAACAAACAATATAATTCATGATCATCATCAGTCAAAGCGAAAAAAAAGAGGGTTACTATTTGCCGTCCGGGCAATTACTATTTGCCACCTGTAAAAAACACAAAAATGACAATTTTGCACCCTCCTTTCATATTCAATGCACAAAAATCAATTGAATACCACCCAACAAATCTGAAGTCTTTTTCTTTCGAAACCAAAAGAGGAGGAATAAAAGCTATCTTCTTTCTACTTCTTCATCATCCCCCATGGTAGCTAGCTAGTCAAAGAAAGGGAAAAGAGTAGAAGACAAATAAAACACACAACAAACAACCACCCTTCCAAAAAAAAAAAAAAACACCCCACTTCCCCCAGGAACAAAAAAACTACTGACCCACAAATATTTACAGCTGGGTTTTCACTTTTTCACTCCTCCGCCTTATTAATGGACCTGTAGCTCTACTTTAGCAAGTCAAGAAGCAGCTGGTTGGTTAGGTTGAGGCTGCTGTTGCTGTTTAGACATGTGAAGCTGCTGCACAAAAGGATGCACATTCCTACTGCCATTACTGCTGCTGCTGCCATTACTTCCACCACCACCACCACCCAACGACAATGCTGTTGATGAGTTGTTGTTCGTGCCGCTTGTGGTAGCAGCGGCGGCGGTGGTGATTGGGTTGCCGGCGGGAGCGGCGGAGGTTGAGGTGTTGGTGGTGGCGACGCGCTCGCAGGAAGGGCACATGGTGAGGGTGGTGGCAGGGAGCTGCATGTAGAAAGGCTGGGAAGTCTTCAGGGCTCTTAATTCCTGCAGTTCCTTTTGCAACCTCCTGTTCTCTTCTGTCAGTGTCTCGCAGCACCTCTTTAAATACTCGCAATCCACCTCTGTTTGTTTCAGCTTTGTCCTGTTTGTATTTTCCGTATATTAAATTGAATAAAAAAATTGAAATGAGAACCAACCAATTGTATACATACATATTCCAAAAGATCATAACCATCCAAAAGAAGGGAACACGAAAGAGAACAAACAGATGTACAACAATCTCAATCATATCTCTATATTGCACCACAAATCAGTGCTTATCCGATGGATAATCCGTTCCCTCTTCCTAAGAGATAATGCAAATCATATGGATAGAGGGATAAACGATGATGATAAAGTTATGATTACCTGGCCCTTCTGTTCTGAAACCACACCTCCACCTGCCTCGGCCGTAGATTCAGCTGCTTCGCCAGCGCTAGCTTTTGCTTCTGCAGATTCAAAGGGAGGAAAATCAAGTTAAAGATGATTAATTGATTGGACCCGTTTGAATTGTAATCTGGGTGGAGGTTCATGAGGAGAAAGATTGGAGCTTTTTTTTTCTGGGTTTGGTTTTACTTACGGGGTTAAGGGTGTTGTGCTCTTTGAAGCTCTCTTCGAGAAAAGCCGATTGGTCTTTGGAAAGTCGGAGTTTCTTCCGAGTGGATCCGTTCTCGTCATCATCACTCGCTCGTTCGGCTTCAGCTGCCTCCAAATCTCGCTTCCCTGGACCAAAGGCTCCGCCGGCGCCGCCACTACCGACCCCGAAATCCATCTGAAGCGACGAGCCGCCGCTGTTGGGAGACGAGAGCGCCGCCCCGTCGTCCCCTTCCTCCCCCGAGAAACGGTTCACTTCTAATCGCCTCGCTTGTGTCGACCCGTCCATCGCCCCATGCGCAGACGAAGTCACTGAGGCATTTCACCGAACACCATGAGGACATATCAACGGAGATAGAAATCGAAAGACCAAAACCCCCCACCCAGATCCTAAAAATCAAATCAATGGAGATAGAAAAACAACTGAAGATGACTTACGAGCTGGGTCGGTAGCAATAAGCCACGGGAACCGAGCCTCCGACGCCGGTGCCGCCGCCGTGGGTCTTCTGTGAACAGGGGAGAAAGGCAGGAGATCGAGCTGCAGCGGAGTCTGCGGGTCTGTCGATGCCGATGCATTCATCCTTCTCCCGTCGTCTCCTCGTCGATCGATGATCTCCCGGTGGGGCGATCTCGAAGCGGCAATAGCAGAGCTACTAGCAGCGGCTGCTCCTCCTCCGCCGCCGCCGCCGCCGCCCAAGCCCATGCAGAAGCCCAAGTGGTGATCTTTGGTCGGTGCGGCTTTGTCGAGGAACTTGAAGGGTTTGGAGGCGTCGCCCAAGCTCAGAGCCAGCTCCATTTTTTTTTTTCTTCTTCTCTCGCTCTGGAGAGGGGAAGTAGAGAGGGAAAGTAGAAGGGGAAAAGGGGGAAACCTGAGAGAAAGCCAAGAAGCCTATCCAGAGTATTTAAACGCTGAGGAGGAAAGCAACAAAATAAGGAAATTGAATAAAATAAAAAATTTAGTGGAAAATTTTAATAATGATAATGATGTATGATAATTGATAATTATTATAATCCGGTTTGCCTCCCATTTTAAGGTAATTATAATTTTTTTTCTTTATAGACTATTTTTCATTTAATTTATTCTCTATATTTTTATATAATAAAATTTTTTACGTTAACTTTTTTTTTATATTTTTGGATTGGGGAGGTTTGGACAAGATTGACCGACAAATCGAGGTTGACAATCACACGTGAATCTATATAAATATACACAACGGTCCACACAAGATTTGCATACTCTTCCTTTCCTTTCCTCCTTTTTTTGTTTCTTCTTTTCTTCTACCTGTAACTTGTGTGACCAGTCAGTGGGATTTCTCTCTTATACAGTCAAAAGAAAGGAGGGTTTTAACCTTTTAGCTCTCAGTTATTTCTTTTTTTACTTTTAACTATTTCCCCCCCTTCTATTTTAGGTGTTTTGAAACAAGCCTTCTTCCCCTTCTCTCTCCTTTTCAAATCCTCTCGCTTCTCTCTAGCCTTCTTCCACAGGGCCGCCGTCGGCATCACTTTGCTGACCGGCGGTGGCCCTATTTCCTCTCGCAATCGTCTTTTCTTTCTCCCTCCAACCTTCCTTTGAGATTACTTTGTTCTCTGTCCATCGCTGGCTCCTCCCGTTCCTTTTCTGATCTTCAAGCGCTTAGTGGCTTTCTGCAGATCTGATCTGATTTTCCTGCCGTGATGGCTTTTCTTGCCCTTGGTGGCTTTCTCTCGGATTCCTAAGTGGTATCCTTCCACATTCCTCCCAGGTGGAGTTGTCCTGTAGTGTTCTGATCTGGTTTCACCAGATCTGGTCGCTCTGTTTTGGGTACGGAAGATGCATTTTGGGGAGTTCAGCTGGTTCTGAAGTGAAGACTCTTCCATTCTTGGTGTGAACATCCCAGTGGTGATCGCGTTCATCGTTTCCCCTCAGACGTCGTCTTTGTTTCATGCTTGCTGCATCCTTGCCGATCTTCTGTTGTGGGCAGCTTTGTCTCTTCCGAATGTCTTGGCGGCGGGTTCATGACTCTCTGAGTTTAGGGTTCTACCTTGGGTTGATTTTTTTTTTTTTTTTTTTTTTTTTTTGGTGTTTGTGGGCTGTTGGGGTTGGTGTGGGTGTTGCTTCGTTTGTTGTTTTCTGGGTTTTGGGATGGTGTTTCTGGTGTTGTGTTTCTGCAGGTTTTGGTGTTTGGTGTGGGTGGTGCTTCGTTTGTTGGTTTCTGGGTTTTGGGATGGTGTTTTTGGTGTTGTGTTTCTGCAGGTTTTGGTGTTTGGCTTCTTGCTGGTGGTCTTCTTTTCTTGTGGTTTTTTACGGCTCTTCTCAACCCTTGGTGTTTGCTTACTCTGTTTTGTCATGGTTACCTCTGTTGCCGGCTCCCTTGCCTTGTTTCAGCTCCGAGCAATCTGGTACAGTCTTGTCCACCGCCATGTAATCTCTTCGGTGGTTCACTGTGATGGGTCGTCTTCGAACAACTCCCAGGAGGCGGCATATGGTGTTGCAATGTTCAATTGCCATGGCCAAGCCTGTGTTGGACGAGCTGAAGCTGTTCTTTGAGCATTTCTGATGAATGAGGGAACAAAGAGTGGTTAAGATGCTATGTTTTATGGCTCTTGAAAGGAAAGTCTTTATCTGGTTGGATCATGCTTTGCTTTTGTTTGTCCCGATCTTTTCCTCGTTTTCTTGGTGTGGTCCGCGGATGTTTGTTGTTTTTCTTTCTTGTTTCCATTACTCATGATGTTATCCACTCAATGTAACCAATTTCATTTGATGAGCAATATAAGTGATCCCTTTGTCAAAAAAAAAAAAAAAAAAAATATTTTAGGTGTTTTAATCTAGTGTTAAATGATGATAAAGTAGAGTAAATGGCGCATTTATTTGGACTAGAGTTGTGGTCTCTTATGAGTACTTGGAAAACGAGTAAGATTTTTAGAGGAGGTTATGTACTTGTGTTGTGCTGTGTCCTTGAAGCAATGTTTGAGAAACCTAAATGTGTCGGTCGGATCGGAAATGTTGGATACCGGACCAAAAATGATGGACGGTTTTAGAGGTAGAAAATGGTTGAACCACGGACAAATCATAATTTTAGTACAATATACCATACCATTAATTTTTTCAGTATAACCCCCTGATACAGTTTCACAATCATTGCTGCGAAAATAAAGTAGCAGAGACTTTTTTGGAAAAAAAAAAGTGATCGACGACAAAATCCCTATTAAATTTATCAATTAAGATTTTCTGTCAATTTGAGTAGAAAATTAAAAAAAAATTACTCGAGTTTGTTTTATTATAGCCCATTCAAGACTAACCGATGCACTTGGTATGTCAGAAAGAAGCAACCAACGATGTGAGTTAATATGTTGTCTTAATCTGCCCTATTCCACAAAGAACGTTAAAGTTACGGGTCATTCTGATATAAAATTGTCAAGATAAGCCACATGTGATATCATTGTATTGAGAGTGAAATTAAATAGGTGGACTAATAAAATTACTAAATTTGGGAGTATGATTGTGTCCATGAATATTTCTGGTCATAATTGATCAGATAAGAAATCCACAACTAAACGCATGTTTCACTGGAAAACATATATACAAATATTTTACTAAAAGTGCAATATCATACCCCTAGATTGAATGGTTGTTGGTTCTATAAAGATTTTTATCAAGTTTTTTATAGATAACTCGACTAAGAACATTGAACACTACATGATCAAAACGCATGAACATTGTATGAGTATAAAATCGAAGCTCATGAGTTATTAAAGTGTAATAACAACGAAAGGCTTAGACATTCAAAATAAACTTGAAATCTAACCCCTAAATAAGATGCATGAACACCCACAAATTAAGGACATACGGGTTATGAAAGATAAACAACCCTAAGAGTCCGTGAGACCAACACAAAATTGGTCAAGCCAAGTAAAAAGTGATCCATCGATTGAATCAGAATATGAACGCATATTGCATACCTTAACATATTTTAGATTATCACGGCAAGATATGACGGACATATGTTCAGGAACCAATTTGAGTTTTCAAAGTGTTGAGGTTTATGTTTTACAAGTTAGGGATTTGTCTAGGGTTTATGAATTTGGGTTTAGGATTTCAGGTATTCAAGCATTCACTCAAATTTCAGATCTTGTTTCATATTTCGTGCTTCTTTATTATAGTTATTATTATTATTAATATTATTTTCACCTTTTTTTTTCCCCTTCATAGTCATCAAAGTCTCCACCCTAGTTATATATTCTGAGACTTAATAAAGGTCTATTGTCTACACAACTAACCATCAATCGTTTTACAAAAGTTTAAGTGATCAACATTATTGACCTTATGCTCCACTTTATGAAAAATATAATTCACACGACCAATCTCATAATCTACCTAATTAATGATATGATCGACATAATTGACAAAATAATTAACTAACCGGACCATCTTTTTGGTTCACTGCTCCTCGCCCCATTGTTTTCAGTTTCCTTTTGGTAACCCTGTCCATATTTTTTACCCTAAAAAATGAACATCTTTCTCATTTGCCTTCCTTCCCGAGATTTATAGAAATCGCCAATTCGATTTTTCAATTTTTTTTCTTCGACGGATAGAAAACCAGTATATGGTGTTAATAATTGTTTCTGGAGAGAATTTATGCTTTTAATGCGGGAAGGCTGGGTTTGGCATTGGAGCGAGTAAAAGGTTTAATTAAAAGCGCTCCTCTCTTTACCTTTTTACTGAATTTAATTGTGCAAATTCTGCAAAGGTAATCTTCAAATGCACCAAATTATTACTGTCGTTCACCAGAATAACAAATATAAAATGGGTTTGTGAATATTAATAATGATCATATATAGTGGTGTTGTGGACATGATGTTGTTACTGACTACTGCTTCTGTAAAATGTCTTAACATTCTCCAATTATCATTGTCATTATTAATTATTATGAGTAGCAGCAACAACATCACCATCATTGTTATTCTCATATGTACCCAATGATTAAACATTTTTACCAAACATAATAATGCCCCATGTGTTTGATTCCCTTAAAAATAATACTGTGTTCAGACACTTGGCAATTTTTATTTACTAGTTTAAATCTAAGAACATTTTTAATCTATATCATTGGTATTTTGGCTTATTAATATCTACGATGTGAAACATAGTAACTATATGTGTAAATTTGTTTAGAATGATGATTGTTCGAAGGATAATTAGAATCATTCAACCACCTGATTAATAACACGAAGTTAGATTTGGTTGAACTTAAGCTTCATTGTTCCTAGGGAAGCATTAGCCTTTAATTACTAAATTAGATTAATTGAATTTATGCTTCGTTGCTCCTTCGGTAGCATTATTACCCACGATGTCTTTACTAACCAACATTCATCGTATATGATCAGAAACATATATTGCTCCTGGTCTGTAACCGTTTCCTTTGGCAGATTGGATTAGGTTTAGACCCACATGGAGAAGTACTATAAATACTCCTCATACTCCTCTGTAATCTGTAATCTCCTCAATATAGTGAAATCGCCTCTCTCTCGCCCGTGGACGTAGCTAACACACATCGTGTTAGTGAACCACGTAAATCGTGTGTCGTGTTTTCGATTCTCACTTTCGTGTTCTTGCTTTGTCGATCCCGGCGGTTTCCCGATCCGTAGCAGCGCGTTTATAACAGTAACATGTTAAGAACCTTGTGGGTTGTACGTAACCATACATATGAACGGCATAAGGAAATCGTATTTTTACGGGATTAATTTGATTTCATGATGAAAATCTGACACTCGGTGATAGGGTGTAGGAAACATAAATATTAGGGGTAATTATGGGGTTAGGCAGATAATTAGTGTCGAGTAGATTATTAGGATATTATTAGGATTTTGCGGTTTATTTCCTATAAATATGTATTTGGGTCATTACGTCAAATGAATCATAAATCATTGTAAAAAAAAAAAGAATCATAAATCAATAATAAAAAAAATCCTATTCAGTTTACCCCTCTTCTTCTCCAATCTCTTCTAATCCCTAAATCCAATTTTGTTCTTCCTATCT